CTGTGAAATCTGTTTTTTCGAAAATATATTTCGATGTACAGTGTATAGACCTACCTTTATGCAGCACAGTAGAATATTGTTCAGAATATCAAGTTTTATATTTCTAAGAGGAAGTGGCTTGTAATGTGCAAAATCTTTAGCTGGTCTTACTACTCTAGAGTTTTGTGACACTCTAATATTCCATATCTACAATATCAATCCCCAGTTTGTTGTTTTTTGACTGTTTTCTTTGTTTTTCTGAAGCAGAGCTTGTTTCTGTCCTAGATCCCGACAGCAGTAGCAGTAATGGATCCCTCTCACTGTGAAGAGACTCGTGCTGGATGTCATAATGTACCAAATCAGTATTATCGAAAAGGATGATTCTTATACATTCACTGAAAACGAGACTCTTCTGAGAACCTTAACAATAAAAAACATAATTGTTTACTTCACATTGGGCACCGTGTATTTCACTTTCATCTCATGTTTGTGTTTTGAAGACTCTTGTTCTTTTACAGGAACAGATTCCAGCACGATTGAATGGCATGCAGTACAATCACAAACTCTCTGGTGAGTTGTTGGGTTTCTCTCCACTGATTTTCATTCTTTTGTTTACTTTGCATCAACCTCACTGATAAAACTACATTTACATCAATGTTTTCCACGCTCCAAACATTTCTACTGCTTACTGCAATAAACACAAATACACAGGGGCCAATGTTTTTGACATTGACTGTTAGTCGATCCTAATGTGATTTTAATTGGCCATTAATCTCACCCCTGTTAACTCCAAACGCTCCAAAGAGCTTTGACTCTTTTCTTTCCCGGGATAATTTTACTCTATTGAATTTTCTGTGCCTCATCTCCTTTCAGCTGAGATTGAAGAGGTTTAAGTGTATAAATATTTTTATAACAATGGATTAATTGGCTATGTAAAATGTCACGATGAACCCATAGAGAGCAGCAGACATTTTTGCATGTTATGGTAATTGATAACCTTCAGGTGAGGAAGTCACAGGATCCATGTCTTGCGTAAGCTGATTTACTGGCATGACTCCCTTGATGGAAGCATACACTATGTAACCGAGCCATCATCAATGTTAATGAGTCTAAAGCTGTGTCTCAAATGCGATACTTCTGTCAGTACACTCTATACTCAGTATACACAACGGCATCCTACAGTGGTTCTCAGCCTTTACAGGTTGTGACCCACCCAATCAGGCTGCTGCAGGCAACCCCTGACTGTAGGCCTCCCAATTTCTCCAGCATGTAAGATTTAGGTTAAAGGGCAGAAATGGAATATAAAATAATTATATCATAATGATGTTTGCATTAGTGTATAAATCACCTGAATGTACAGATTGTTGTTTTCATTACCTTAAAATGAGCCCTTTATATTTATTCGGAGGCCAACATGTTGCACCACCATGTTTTTTAGGATAACTGAAGGCTTACACAGGTTCTCCTCCATGCTTGGAAGAGAAGGGTGAGATGAGGGGTTTTTCAGTTGTAACATGCAACTTCACCACTAGATGTCACTAAATTTTGAACACTGAACCTAATACAATACATGAAATGTCTGATAAATGCAGAGGAGTAAAAAGTTAAATCTTTCCCTCTTTATTGTAGTGGCGTTAACAAAATCAATTATAATTTATAATACTACTTAATTAATACTCAACTAACTTAAGGATATATAAATGCTTAAGTAAATGTATTTCCTACCACTTGCCATCATGCAAGTGGGTATTAGGAAGCCAGGACTCATCCGGTAAATGACTCCCTTGGCAGTTTTGCGTAAAATATAAATAACCTCTCCTGTGATTTACTTGCTTAGTTTCACTATTGTGAAACATATTGTCAATGCATCAGGCGAGCAGCCAATGTTGTAACCCCATCCTGCACAAGTTGCTGCTGTGTTATAAATAGCAGAATGGATTGACCAGGCCCTCTGACAGGGACAGTGCACTGACTTACACACGCTACTCTCCTTTAACCTCCCACACAGTACTCACACTCACGTCTCCTCTTGCAATCACACAAAAAACACAGAGCCTTTCATTTCATGGGAGTACGTTTTAATGCAAGATTCTCATCTAAAGCAAAAAGGCATCAAACAAGTCAGTTGGTTTCTTCTGTTAAGGAATAACAACTTATTTTTTTCATGTTTTCTGTTTTATCGCCAAGGTATGTAATAAAAATAATATTGCAATCATTTCCTTCATATCAATATCATCATGAAAAACAAACATTGTGAGCATTGGATGTGAACAGTAATCAAACATAAATCACTGTCCTCATTAAAAATGGACTCCATGTAAATATTGTATGATTCGACCTGAAGACATACATCAGGAAAAATAAGAGCTTGTGTGCAAATGAAAGGGTTACGTTTCAAGCATGAGCTTCTTTAACAGCACCCTGTGGCTCATTAACAGCCAGGGTCTCAGTGGCCTTTGGGGCATGAGGGGCGGGTGCAGGGGGGTCCAGGATGAGGGGTGGGGCAAGTAGCATAGCTGGAAGAGGGGAGGAGGATAAAGAGGGAGGTAGATAGGGGGAGGCAGGAGTAGTATCTTACATAGGTAATCATCATAAAGTGCCAAAGAGCATCACACTAGATGAGCCTGAGGTCTGAAGTGTACTGTGTGTGTGTTTGTGTGTGTGTGGACTTGTACTTCAATCTTTGTGAGAACCATTTTGAGCATAGACCTTACTGAAAGAGGACATTGTGGCTGGTTCTCCCTTTTCAAACAGTTGTTTGACTACTAAGACTTTTGAGGGTGGAGTATAATTTTCAGGCACAAGCATTTAGTTGTGAGGGTTAGGGTGGGGTGCTCAGGCTACATACATAATCTGAAATATGTTTTCATTTGAATTTGTATTTTTAAAAACTCAAACAATCTCTATCCACACAAACAGTTTGGCTCAGAATCAGTTTTAATAGTTATCTGCGTTAACATGCCTGAAAACACAAATCACATGAACTCTCACTCACACTGGGCATGTGCATGGTGGTGTAAACAGCAAAGCATTGCTAAAATAATAGCTTGTGTCCGGCTGTATTGTAAAACACAAAATTCGACTGCACAACAGCTGTTAGCAAAGAAAACAGTGTCTGCTATGTCATATAGGGTCAAATCAGCCACTGAATCGAGCTTGCTGTTGTGAGTGTCTACGTCATTGTTTCCAAACAGGTCCGTTTCTGTCCGTCCGGACAAAGTTGATGACAAAAACATATTTGTGTGGCTGTAGCTTGAGGAATGCATTACGTCAACTAGTGTCCTCACTAAGATGGAAGCATATAAATGTATGTGTGTGCATGTATGTGTGCTAAGACCCTGAGATTCAGGTTAGGTTTTGACGCTCAGTTACAAGCTGCTACAACAGAGTAGCCCCTGAACAGGGTCAATCATTCAATCAGTGCTGAGGGTTGCACGTCAAGGTACTGAGGGAGGACTTCTACATTGGAGCATTTATAACAACAGACGAGCTACAGACAGTAGAGGAAACGGGTGGTTTTTAAGGGAGTGCGAGGTGTAAGGCAGAGGGGAGAGAGGGTGATGGGGGTAAAAGGCACAGAAATGGGAGTGGTGGGTGGTGGGAGTGAGCAGTTGGTGAGTAGCGTTATGTCAGCATGTCCCAGAGACAACAGCAACACAGAGCTGTCCAGCAGGCTGTCAGGCACGTGTCCCCTGTGTCGTCTCTTCTCCTGTCCTCCACCACATACACTGCAGAGGGGAAGAAGAAGCAGAAGAATAGGGGGAAAAGAATAAGATGTAATTAGTGCTTCCTTTTCTAAAACCGCATGAAACACCATCGAGTCCTCAGCAGCGAGTCCAAAGTGTAAGCATGGCTGCTATGATTTTCCTCTAATTACATTCATCATGGGAGGCACATCTCCATGGTAATGCCATAGCAGCCCAGAGCCTCCGTCAGACAGCCGTACGGCTGAGTAACATTAGCACCGCTCTGAGGTCTCCCTGGGCAAATGAAAGGAGAGCGTTCAGGATCACACACCTCCATGGCCCCAACAAGTGCATTTCCCTGCACTTCACATGTACGACAGCAGCTTTATTTCACCTTCATTCAACACGTCTAGTCATGTGAGAGTATTGTTTCTCATACGTGAGCTTTACCATCTGTTCCACAAAAACAATTCAAACAACGGGCCTGGAAGAATACGTGTCCTCCTACTTGTGTTTGCGATTAATCATTTATGTGGAGCGGAAACAATCGTCCTGCTTTTAACAGCCAGGTGCACTGACTCGTGACACAGGTGAATGCGTTGCCATGGTGACCTGCTCCTGGTCGATAGATTAAGTGAAGCCCGCTGACCACTTATCATTCCGAACTCTGATAATATTGTGGCAAGGAACCGGTTAATGATTGGCCAATATTTCATAATGAGGAATCTCGGCAGCAGCGCAGCCTCCTTTGATCGACCACAAGAGGCTTTATTTTAAGTCACTCACAGGACCAATAAAACCTTCTCGCTTAGATACACCGAGATGTTAACTCTCTTTGCATATTCATCCTGAATATTTTACTGTGTGGCTCATGGCTTGTGCCGTAATTGCTTTTGGTTGCTCAGATGGGAGGTGCTGCTGCAGTAACACACCTCGTATCTTTAACCTGGCATGACTTCACACTTTTGAAACTTTAAAAGATAACTCCACAGGTTAGGAGTTTGAGCATTTTACAGCCTAAGACAGAGCTGAAACCAATTGTCAGGTAATTGATGCAGTTAATTACTATTATTTTAATAATTGGTTAAGTAATATCTTAAACAAAAATGCAAAATATTTGATGGTTTCAGATTCTCAGTTGTGATTTCCTACTGTTCTTTGTTTTACATTAAAATATTAGAGCTCGAAACAATACAGAAAGATTTTAATTTAAATTTTATGTAAAAAATATTTGTTTATTTTCTTAATTCAAGCTCTCTATATATGGTTGTATTAGTTTTTTATTGAGCTAATTATTACAAGGTTTATGGTGAAACTAACACAATGAAATGTATTAGTTTCACCATAAATGCTTGATAATGACATCTTACTTTGCCATTTTATTTATATATTTTTATCTACATTTGTTCCTGCATTATAATGGCATTGCGCCTCAAAAAAATCCCTAGTGGTCAGGCTATATATAATTTTGTAAATATCTTTGTGTTTTGGGCAGTTTGTCAGAATAAAAAACATCACCATCGGCTTTAGGAAATTAAAAGTGGTATTTTTTATAATTTCTGACTGAAAGAATAGTCAACTACTTTTAATTTAAAGGTACAGTGTGTAGAATTTTGTGATATCTAGTGTTGAAATTGCATTTTGCAGCTAAACACCCATCACCTCACCCACCTCTTCCAAACATGAAAAAGAACCTGTGGTAGCCTTTAATTGTCATAAAAACTCAAAAATTGTTTAGTTTGTCCAGTTTGGACTAATGTAAAAAACACAGCGGCCTCCGTAGAGAGGACCCCCTCCATGCATATATAAAGTATTTAAATATAAAGGGCCTTTTCTGGGGTAAAGAAAACTACAATTCATACAATTTAGATGAAACAAATGAGTGAAAACATCATGAGGATTATTCTACATTAAATTTCTGCCAATAGATCCCTTTTACCTAAATCTTACACACTGAACCTTTAAGTAAAAAATCTATTTATAATGCAAATATACTTTTTTTTACAGCTGACATTCGAAATGTCATGGTAGGAAAACCACAGATATTACTAAAAACATAAATAATGGCTCCATTCTATTCGAGTGTCCTAGTCAGCATGAACAATACCAAGCAGCTAAATGGAATTCAGCCTCCATTCATTGGTTGTGTTTTTTCTACTGAGATATTTACTGTCACATGATGGGAACAGTCACAACGAACTGCTAGAAGCTGCAACGTCAGTAACCAACGTAGAGAGAGCCACAGGCGAGAGTAAACTTATTTATGGACCTTTTGACTAAGATTTACAGTGAAGAAGCACACAACATAACTAGGTTTACATAAGGTAAAACTTTGTAAAGCTTGTTAATCAACCTGTCACGTGTATTTATTTTTTTCAGCTCTATTTGGTTGTAAAACACGTTGAAATCAATTTGGAGGCCTCTCTCCACTATATATTAATATTGTGAATATTCATGCTAAAAGGAGGTCTAGTGGACTAGATTTAAAAAAAAACATTATGTAAGTATCTATTAAATATAAATTAGTGCAACATAAAAGTCATTATTACATTGGTAGCCTACAGTAAACACGCTAGCAGATTGGCTGGCAAGTGGAACTGCTACTGACCCCGTTGGTCATGGTACATGTACATATTTGCATCGAGCTCACCTGTGTTTTTGGGAGCTTCACCATACATAGGCCCGGGAGGGGGACCCCCCTGCCAGCCAAACTGTGGTTGTCCATGATACCCTTGGCCAGGATAAGGACCTCCAGGGGGCATTGGTCCAGGTGGGTAGGATGGGTATGCTGGATTAGGCTGCTCCATGTTCACAGGGTATCCCTGAGGAGGATAACCCTGAGGTGGGTAGCCTTGTGGAGGTGGGGGGCCCTGGCCTGGGTAGCCTGGAGCTGTGGGGCCGCTGCCCGGGTATGGAGGGGGCTGCTCAAAATTCATCTTTGAGTTCAACAATCACCTGAAAAGACAAGAAAATAGGAGTGAGGGTGTAAATAATGGTGCTGTCAACACACCAAAGACCAACAAGGGTTGTGTGTCCTGTGTACTGATCAATAAAATAATACTATTATTATATTGATCAGTACATAGGACACGTCTTAATATGTAACAGGGGTGAATACTAAATATTTTAGGTCAATACCAGGTACCACATATTATATATCATTACAGGATTATTACCTTCTAGGGTTCTCTCAATCAAAACAATAACAAAAGATATAGCTTGAAGACATTGTGAAGCAGCGTGGGATCATGGGAGTTGTTGATTTCTCCACCACTGCAGGTGAAAATCTACCTGACGCGATTCAGGCGCAAGTCATGTTCATGGATGGGGGAGACTGGGATCAACCCGGGATCTGACCTTCTGGTTAGAGGGCGACCGCTCTACCCCCTCCGCCAGAGCCACCCCAATTAGATAAATGTGTGGTAGTGTGGACCATGTAAAAAGATATGAGTGTGTGTCCATGTGCGGTTGTGTAATTCAGCCTCTTGAGTCACATTAGGCAACGTATTCTCCAGAGTCCAGACATGACAGCACAACATAGGCTTAATGATGCAATGGTTCCCTGTAACAGAGGAGTATATAAACCCATCTCCTGGTGTTTATGCTTATATGGCAAACAACATGTATGGTCTCCACAGCACAGACAATGATTTTCTATTTTGTTCAGCGTGTCTTAACAGTCAATAGTCAATCACAACCCACATCAGCCATACCAGAGGTCAGCACCATTATCAGACAACTGTTCATACACGGACTTAACAAATGGAGGCTTTGTCCCAGCGTGCATGGTGAAGCGAACCAAATGAGCCATGGGAAAGAGAAGGGTGACAAAGAGACAGCAGGCCTGCGCTGGTTACATCTTCACACTTAGTTTTCCTCCCTTCTCAGGAACACACTAATGTGACATGCTATGTCAAAGATCACATGTCCATATTGTATGTCTGTGGGACGTGTGAAACAAGAGAAGAGAGGTTTAAGAAAGCCTTCCTGTTACTTCTTGCCCATCCAGGAACTGTTTTAATCTTGAAAGTCGTTCTGAAAGTACAATTAATGTTTGCAGTCAACTCAGTATCAACATAAGGTTATTTGTTCCTCTCATGGCCACGTGAGAGGGAAGTGCATTTTCAAGCCAACCACTTAATGGCTTCTGATAAAGTAGGTTCAGGTCCATCACAAAGGTGCAGTCGCCTTCATCACTGGACTTGCTCATGCAGAACAGCAAAAACAGTAGGCGAGCAGGACCACATGGAGGACAGCAACTCCATCAGGCCTCCCAGGATTCCTCTGTCGTGTTGTATGTGTACACTGTAAACAGCTTGCACTGCAGCTGTCCTGAGTTAAGCTGTAAACCGAACCGTGTCAGAACGCACTTCTCAAAATGACACAATTAAGATTGCCGGTACCAGGATCTGTACATGTTATCTGTTTTGGAAAAACTTGTGTCATATTTATTAGGTTCAAAGTATGGTGGCTGTAGTGTTATCATCTTCTCTACCTAGTTTGGTAATAACATCAGAAAACAAGGTGCTCCGTGCGTGCCCTTGGGCGAGAGTTAATACAGTGTGGCTCCAGGAGGACATCAGAGGATATGTAGGTTAATAACATGGTGTTAATGAGGCCGTTTCAAGTTGAATTTGATGCCGGGTCTTACAGATACTTGGATGACACCACACGAGCAGTATGGAGGCATGTTATAGGTCTTTTTCTGTTGTTTTTTTACATTTGAAGATTTGGTCTCCAGTTACTTCAATTGTATTGGATTTGGCTTCAACGCTGTCGCAGAAACTCTAAAAGTGTTTTGTGAACTCAAACACTTCACCCACTCCTCCATCAGCATAGTGGGGAGCTATAAGCTTCTCTGAATGAACATTTCACCACCTGAATGTGATCTTAAGGCTACTGACAGATGGCATGGCTTCTGTAGCTATAGCAACTGTGCTCCAGGAGGAACACAGCGATCTCTTTCTGACTTGTTTGTGTTGTACCTTAAGGCGGCGAGGAGTAATAGAAAAGCACAATTATCAGATTTGACTTGTTCGCATGGGAAGCTTCTTCTGTGACTGTCCTTTGTTCCAGAGGTGATCACATGGTGTAATTCACAGCGTAACAAACAATCCAGTAATCCGACACCTGTGACGATGGCTACAGCGTCAAAGTTCACCTTGTAATACACCTTGCCTTTATTTTATCCATATAAACCTCCAGTATACATTGGTATCAGGTCAAGATCCAAAGACAAATGATTAACCAGGTCTCAAAACATGAAGGCTTCCACAGTATGCATGTTTCCTGTATGAGAGTGTGTTTCATTTGCATTTGTGTCATTTGTTTTTTTTTTCCCCAGTGGGACTGCGGAGATACTTGTGTGAGCTCGGCCAATGTTTCCACAACAATATCACAGTGATATTATCGCACACGGACACACACATGGACAGATATCAATCCAATCTCATCCATCATCTGATCCTAGTGGCATTGAACAGGATTAACAGGTGTGGTCAGTGCTTTACCAAACGGGTCACTTTATCACAGTACAACAATTAACACCAACTGGGTGGAATTTATTGACATGAGTTAAAAAGATTACAACTGTTGACTGACCCTGGTACAAAATACAGAATAAAGACCTTAAATATATGAGACTGCTTCTTAAGAAACTTCTCTGATCTTGCTTTTACTGTTGGAAAAACATGCATTGCGTTCAACTGGAAGTCCCCTTTCTCCTCTGCACTCTCAGTGGAAGGCTGAGGGGTATTCTTGCTTGATTACTTGTTCTACAAAGTGAAACGGAAAGCTGGGCATATATGACAAAATGTGGACACCTTACATAAATATTTATTTTTAACATTCATTCAGATTATGTGCACAGTGAATCCAGAGTGTAAAGTAACCCTGAAACAACATTAATTCTTGAATTCTTTGCTTTTTTCAATCATTTCAGCAGCATTGTGTGTGTGTGTGTGTGTGTGTGTGAGATTTGTCTGAGGGTATCCCACACAATAAAAGCACACACATTGTACTGACAATATTTGGAACCTTGTATTAAAAATCTATAATATATATATATATATATATTATTGTTTTTTTCACATAAACTAGGGCTGCTATCATCAGCTATTGTTAAACTCATAAATCCCTGTTGTTACCATAGACTGTACATTCAGATCTTCATGTACACTCTAAGATGGTTATAAAACACAAGTCCAGCCCTTATTATTATATGAATGTATTTGGGGCAGTTTCTCCTCACTCTGCTCGAGCGTTACGAGCAGAGAATGCCGCACCTTGTCAAGCCCTGTGAGGGAAATTGGGATTTGTGAATATTGGCTGTACAAATGAAATCTGATCGACTGATCGATTGATCAGACCGGATATAGGGAGGTAAACACACAATACACACAAAGAAAACATGGAGTCCGCTCAGTTAATGTGACGAAAAATACACACTTTACTGTAGAGTCACCAAAACCGTTGCTGCTTCAGACAAACGGTCACCAGACATCGACCATGAGGCCAGTTAGTTCTGACCTGTAATTCTATTTCAAACATGAATGCGAGCAGCACTGCATTGTTTCATCACCGAGGCTCGGTGTGAGGACTGGAGGGAAGAAGGAGAAATCAGAGACATTAAAGTTGCTGACACGAGCCGAGGAGGAGAAGTGGCACCTGCAGGCCACAGCGCACTGATCAGCCCCGCGCAGCTTCCACTGGCTTCATGATGACTCGACACACACACACACACACACACACATAGAAATACACAGAGGAGGAGAAATGAGAGCAGCACCTACCGAACAACGAGCAGTGATCCTGTGAGTCCGCCGCGGTGTTAAATTCTCAGAGACTCCACCGTTTGTTATCCGCCCGCGACCCTCCGTCTCTGTAGCCTTCTGCTGGACGCGACGTCACTGCTTCACAGACACGCGCGATTGGCCGCGGCCGCCGCTCCGCGTCCCACGGCGTCCAATCGCGAGCCAGAGCGACGGTCGGGAGGCGGGAGAGAAGTTAACCGACGACTGATCATGTGACTTGATAAAAGATTGAAGCAGAAGTCTGCATCATCACCCACATCCGCACGACCAGGAGCCAAGATGGATGACTAATGTACGTCAATCATTACTCAGTGACCTGCTGACCCGCGGATTTCATGATGTCATCAAGTTCACGGAAACTTGGCAGCTCTCACACATCATTGCATCACATCTGAGATCATCAGATCATCAGATCATCAGAGTCAACCAGGGAAAGTGTTCTTATTATTAATAACGGAACAACTGGTTGATAAATAGAATGTGATATAGTTATTGTAAATGATGGCATTAGCTTTTGTATTCATGTTAGTATTGTGTCCACCTTTACAATTTGAATGTTTAAAATACTGAGTACCTGGCCAATAGAATGCAAAAACCCCAGTACACTTAAATCTGCTGTACCATGATTTTACTGGATATGTTAGTCTAATGCACAACTTTGTATAACTTCAGTTATTTATCTTTAAATCTGTCTTTATATTTGGCTTCGATACTCTGCCTCGGTTACTTCAATCACCTAATAGACTTAAAAACATTTGTCAATGTGTCAGTTAGTACATGTTTCTTTACAGTGACAGCTTTGCAGTAGTTTCATCTCACTGCAGTGAACTTATTCTGGATTAATTTTGACCTTTTATTATTGTTATGCTCTTGTGTTTGATCGTTTAGTGTGCTACAGGATGCCTACATTTTCCCTCAGGATCAATAAAGTATCCATCTATCTATTTGTCTATCGTATGTCTAATGTAAATACAAAACACAATATGATAATGTGTTCGGAAGTGTAGGCACAAAATTTTACTTCACTTAAATGAATAAATTCTAGGAATATATGCATGTACGTTTACAAATATTTGGTTGCCCACTTGACATTTTTTGGGTGGTGAAGTTGAAAATACTGTTAAGAAATGAATTTAAGAAGTTTGAAAACTTGTGTTACAAATGGGACTTGGTTAAACACATTTACCTGGACTCAAAAATATGTATTACATCTACAATGAGAAGATGTAGATTTAGATATATATTATATTATAAATTGATTTTTTTAGCTTTGTTGTTTGGTTAAATGCAATGCTACTTTTCTACCAGCAGATGTCAGACTCTTCTCAGCATGTTTTTCTCTAAAACTTCTCGCACCCTGAGGTGTCAAACAGTTCTGTTGTTATGTAGGTCAATAGATCTACAGCCATCAATGTTTTATTTAGTTAGTTATTAATTTTGTCTCGGTTTTATACCTGCAATATATCAGTGAAGAGATTTTCAATTTAAAATCATTTATATGTACCTTTTGACCAGTTTATTTTCACTCCTATTGAAGTTAGCACACGTATTACAGTGAATAACACAAATGAAATTCTCATCACATATTTGATGGCATTTTGTAATGATGACAGGCTCATATCAGGCAAATCTACAAAGTAGGATGACAGCATTATGGCTGGTTTGCTTGTCCCTTTTTTAAATCAAAATACACTTTCATTCAAACAGTTCTGAATGGATTGAAACTAATTTGTCAACAAAGTGCTGGAAAAGGACTGTGGGTTCTGTTACTTCATGACCATGGAAGTGATTTGATACAGAAACTGCTCGGTTCCTTCCATGACTAGAGAGCTGGGCCTCATTGGCCCGACCTGCACATGTCACAGCCTCAGTGTCTGTGCTTTTTTAAATTTATTTATTTATTTTGGGGTGGGGGGGGGGAGTGACCAATGGCCAGGCGGCTCACAGACAGAGCAGAGCACATTCTCAGTGCATTCTCAGTGCATGTAGGCTTGAAACAAAAACTGATGCTGAAATATGTGTCTAGAGAATTTATTTTTGGTAAAGCAGCAAACACACAGTGTGAACATCCTGCATTCACAATCTCAGCTCTATCAGCAAATGTCACATCTTAAATGCATGATATCTATAAAAGTTGCATTGTTATATATAACTGAAAAATAGATACTTACTGATGTGAGCATTTTAATTAGCACAAATGTTGAGGTTGAGCAAATATAAAAATTTAAAAAACTGCTAAGTAAAACAATGCTAGTATGTCATGTTTAATAAGCTGTTGATGAAATGTGTGTATTTATTATTAATCTGTAGAGTAACTAGCAACCATAGCTGTCACCCATGCATGCCCCCAACCCCCCACCCCGACCTAAAATTAACTCTAACCGTAACTCTAACATCTTAACCCACAAAGAACCAGCCAAAATTATCTTCATAAAGATATAAGTACAGATGCACATGCACACGTGGTGGTGGTGGTGGGAGACAGGGTTGTGAAACATCATCTCATGTCCTCCATTCGACATGACATTACTTGAGTACAGTATGAATATAGTAGCATACCGGCAGCCAGCCAGCATGACAGCTGCTGCTGACAGTGGAACCTGGCAGTGCCGAGCAGCAGAGTGTGATGAAGCTCACACAATGACAATACGTACACTGCAGGTATTGTACTGTATAAGTGAGTTGAGAAACAAGGTTTGACATGCACAGACACTGAGCTGTGTTTACAGCTAGTGGGCCTAAAAAGTGACAAGAGGTGCTATGACTGGTGGGACATTAAGCAGTAGTGTGGCAGGGGCTTTGAAAATACTGATATGATTCTGTCCTTTGAGGCATATCAGAGATTATGGTACAAACAGAACAGCAAAGGGAATAACAAGCTTCAGTCAGATCTGTTTGTCAAGTGAGCAGGTTCAAATATTGTCTTCACTATATTTACTGAGAAATTTGAGAATAATCACGTAAACTAATAATAAAATGTACTTGTTTTGGAACTGGAACCTCCTGTAACTGAAGAAACTAAACAGCTTTTAACAGCTGATGTCTTTGATTTGATTTACTGCGGAAGTGTTCTGTGAAGCAGTGGTCTGAATCCCTGCAGCGTAAAAGTTGTTGTCTTAAAATATGAGACAAACATGTGGCCTGTGTGTGTGTGTGTGTGTGTGTGTGT